AATCCAGTCGAGATCCATAACTGGCAGACCCGATCTGCCAGAATTTCTGCCGACCTGAATTTTTTTCTGTCGAAAATGAATAATTCAGTCGAGATCCATAACTGGCACACCCGATCTGCAAGAATTTCTGCCGACCTGCATGGTACATTTTCAATTTAATGAGGAATGTGGATTTTTTCCATACTGAAAGAGTGAGGGTTGGAATTTTTTTGTCGAAAATGATCAACCTGGTCGAGATTCATGTCTGGGAGGCCCGACCTGCAAAAATTTCCGTCGACCTGCGAAATGTATTTCCAATTTTTTAAGAATTTGTGAAATTTTTGGGTGGGGGGTCGCAAATTTGTCTGTCGAAAATGATTAACGTGGTCGAGATTCACGTCTGGCAGACCCGACCTTCAAGAATTTGTGTCCTTCTACAAGATTACGAGAGCAATGTCTACTGAGAACAATTTGCAGACCTGCAAAATAGTTATACCCCTTGTATTTGTATCTGATGTTACTGCAGTTTCGTCCTATAAGAACATTTTCGAACCAATACAATAAACTGAAAATAATTGATATTAGCCCTTATATATCTAAAAACTATGTGGTTAATAACAGATGTACCTAACTTAATTGAGTCCATGAGTTTTGTATACCTGTGACAATGTGGGTACGCTAATATGATGACAGGTGAGCAAACTAGATCAATTTGATCTGCAATGCTTATGCTTATGAATTTCCAAGTATACCAAATAATTGAGTTTCTCAAAAATGTCACATAAAAATTAATTCTTTAATTATCTTTGGGCTGCAGTGTATTCATTAAAAAGCGGCAACGCAGATTCGAATCCAAATAATTATTTCATATGAAGAGGTATATTTTCAGAAGTGATTATTTTTCTATATCTATTTGTTGATCATGTTCAATAATTATGAGATGGAGAGTATCAAATCATTCAGTTTTCTTAGATGATCCAAATGGTGAAAACACTGTATCTCCTACATCCCATCATCTGTTTAAATTGTTCGAAACATTACCAGGGATATTCTTCAAAAGACTTGTGGAGGAATCAATATTTTATATTGTTTTTTTGGTCTCTAACCTTCCACAATCTGAAAACATAAAAGCTTAATCAATAGAGAATCTGCTGAAGTGTAGTAAAGGGCAAACTGAAAAGTTCACCTCAAAAAGTTGCTATGTAATATGTACTAACTTATCGTAATCATAAATTTTTGCCTACAAATTGAAAAAATGAAATATTGATACTTAGCTTTCATCTTTTGACGTTTCAGAAAACAATACTTCATCATAAAAATCTCGCCCCAAACTGTGATAGTTCTAATTTCTTTTGACACAGTTTGGGATGGGATTTTCATAGTGAATTTCAGGTTTCAAAACTGAAATAAATTGTTTTCTGAAACGTCAACTACTTAAGAAAGCTAAGAATCAATATTTTTCAATTCGTAGGCAAAATTTATGAAAACAAGTTACTGACTAATTGGAGTTTTCAGACTTTTCAGTTTGCCCTTTATTACACTTCAGCAGATTCTCAACCTACTGATTTAGCTTTTATTTTTCAGATTGTGGAAGGTTATGAACTAAAAAAACAGTATAATAAATTACCAGGGAATATATCAAATCATCAGGACAACTGGTGTAACTTATTGAAATATCTTAAAAGGAATTTGTGTTTTAGGGAAAAATTTTGTTCTCGAAGCTTTAACTAAGTGAATATATTCTAGCATTTTAAAAGGTAATCAAAAACCATTAGTAAATTTGACATATTGGTTTATTAACTCTACTATACTCAGAAAATGAGAGGCGTAAAGCCTCTTTATATGATCTGCTGATCATCATCACATCATTAGTTTATTCCTAAATTTAATCAATAAACAATAATATATCAATCGATTCAATATATCTTCGAGACATATCGTGAACATTTAAACTTGACAAAATGTTTGACTATTTTATTATACCTAGGTAGTTTCGTTTTACTAATGAAAAGAGCAAGAAAATTATTTTGATGTATATTGGAATGAAATATCATTCAACACAAATATGGCACGTTAAATAAAACCAAAACACAAAACCTGATTGAGAAAATAATTCAAGGCAAGGATAGTCGGCGCAATCCATGAAAACTAATCACACACTTTATCAAATCTGTTCACTCAAACCAAAACGCCAGACATGTAGAAATTTCCATAACATGGCCCCAAATGAATAGTAATTTTTGTACAACTTTTACAAGAATAAAACATTTTTAATATCAACGCTTACATTAATAAAGAAATCAATGTGATATTTTGTCCAAGACGGCCCCCAAGTCAAAACAAATGAATTATTCTACATGTCTGTCGTGAATTCAACAATAAGGAGAAACTTGTCCAATATCATGATTACGTTTTTTTCAAAATATCATGCATACACTCTTAATATGTTACATTTAATGATCATTACATAAATATCAATATTATACTTTATATTTATATTTTTCAAAAAATAATCTATTAATTTTTCATGTTGTTATTCTCCTTATTTCTGAATAACCTCGCCTTCCTTACAGGATTATTGTGAATGAATTCCCTTAATTAGTGACCTCTTGCAATATACTGCCAAGAATTAATTGCAACTCAATATTGAACATTACCCTGAGAAAATTAATATTTCAAAAAATGTATTGATGTAAAATCCTCGTTTCAAAGGAACATATTCGAAAATAATGAATCAGAATTATATTTTCCTAAATCTTGGCAATATTATGCAACTGAATAAAACTCACCAGGTAAGTGAAACAATTGTCAGGTCAATTCAACATTACAATTGCTTGTACTTCCGAGTAAAGTTTAACAGAACTGCTGGAAAACAATTGCTGGATTTTTCTCCAGCATGCTTTTGTTTTCCTTTAGAGAGGGCGCAAACCTAACGTCTGCATTTGTGATGTGACTTAAATAACAATCATTACTAAAAATATCACAAACTTGTTGTTGATAAATGAAAAAATAATTGGAGCCACTATAAATATATACAAAGTATATTCGTACAAATATTTATATAATATTGAAAAGGGTTAGATCAAAGATTCATTTTTATTTGTGGCTCACTTCACCAGAAATAACTTCTCAGATGATTCAATTTCAGATAATTTTATAGGATGTTCTCTAAAAATATACCGATAACAAACAACTACTTCGAATCTAAGTGTTAGGGTAGGTCGCTGCTTAAAGAGTAAGAAAACCCACACAACATAACTACTATTGTCAGTTACCAAATAACAAATAAAACTTCAACAAAAATGCACGAGTATGTAAAAAAATATAGTTAAAATTTAAAGAAAAACTATGTAAGAACTGAAACAAATAGGCAACTGACGGGCCTTAAGAATACTTATAACAATAATTCAAGTGAATGAGAGTGTTAGTTTCAAAATTCTGTCGGCGAAAAGGCTAAGGCAATTATGCATTAACTGGCGAAGCTTGATCGTGCAGGGCACCAATAATAAGGAAAATTGTGATACACTCTTGATTATTGTGACAACTAATTGACAATGGCTACCTTAGTTCTTGAATATTTTCGAATTTTCATGGAATTTTCAAAAAGAGTCATTATTTTGTAGGAACTATACTTCAGTTATTTTCAGATTGAAGATGTATAAAAAACTAAGGTTCAATTGTATTGAAAGATATATGAAATCAAGATAATAAATCAAACGCCACCTTATGTGTATGCTTGTATCACATCATAAGGGGTGCTAATTTTTAATTAACATTTGTTCAGACGACGGGAATTTTATTTCAATTCACAGATATGAAATCAAAATTTTATTTTCCATATATAACGTGATGAATTTTTCCAGTTTAATGAGAAAATTTATAGAAATGTAAATTTTTTAGTTTTTTCGAGTGCACCACAATTAACAGTTTGTTGGCAAACAGTAAAGCAGTTTCTCAAAACGAATGTGTAAAATTACCAAAAATGTTTACTAATCTTTGCAACATTTCATCATCAACAACAACCACACAATAAAACTTACTGGTTTCAGGACGAGCAGAGGAAAACATCAAATTTTTTCTTAGGTATATTAATAAAAATGGAAGCCAAACTGGATTAGATATCATATCTTCCTCTAACATGTCCTTTGAACAATTTGTAAAGTAAAACAAATACTGAAAAACTTGTCATGATCTCATCATGTATGTTAAAGGAATGAGGCAAAGCAAAAAAAGTAAATATAAAAAAGCTAGGGTACTCTTAAAAATACAACTTGCAAAAACAAAATCTCGCTAATAGCTAAATCTAAGACTATATTAAGTGTAGAATAAGTGAAAGTTCGTACTAGGGACATGCAATGTATTGTTATATGTTAGGAAAAATTATTCTAGGTTAGGCTAACTATGGACTAATCATAATAATATAGCAATGGGTATATAAACATGTAATATTATCAGACATGCATCTAATACAGAAAGCACAGCCGCCATCCACCAAAACTAAAATTTCGTTGGGATGAAATGTCAATATTCTTTAAATCAAGTGAGTAATAATTCTGAGACCAATACATATTCGTGAATGTATGAGTTTGATAGCAACAACCGTTTAACAGTAACTAAATATTTCAAATATTTCTTTAACATTTGAAATATTACGTATAAATGTTAGGAATTTTTTTATTTATGTTAAAGCTGATATATAAGATCTCGAGTGTATGAAAAACTACAAATTTTCCCAACGTGGTATTCACTATGCATTCTGTAAAAGACACAATATCAGAAGAAATTGCAAGGGAGCACACTCTGCACAACCCAACAAAAGAGCTAATCTAGCAACCAATGCAAATGCACAATAAGCAAAGCAGAGACCCGTGCTCTTGATTGTGGAAGCTCTCACTCTATCTTGGTATTAAAGGGAAAGACTTTGAAGCAATTGGTCCAAACTCTCCACTTTAATATTTTTGAAATGACCCAAAACTTCAAATATGGAGTAAATCATTCATCAAAGTCATTTGAATCGTTCGGGCCAATGATTATAAGTTACAATATCAACAAGTTGTTTTAAAGTTATTTGTTACATCTATTAATTTTCAAACCCTATCAATTAGACGAATAAAGAAACTCTTTATGCGAGTTTTTTCATTACAACCTAAGTTCTATTTACAACATTATCATAACAGTGTATCATCACACATACAATTTAGAAAACAGTGAGGCAACTTGACAGAACTGATTAATAATATTAGAAAAATATAAGTGAACATTTTTTTTTCAATTTTACAGGTAGTGGAGAGTTTTACAAAAAAACATTTCTGTCAAACTAGCTCAAGAGTTTCGAATTCAGACTACCCGATCTCACAATCGGTACGCCATCTTGCCCTTTAATACCAGACCATTTCTATATGACATTTGTTATGTATTGAATGTTTTTCCAAGGAACATTTGTTCATTTTTTATTAGTTGATCATTTGTTTTTCTTAGTGGCACTTGATTGGGAGATATCGAGTTAATCATCAGAATCACACAACTATTTTTGACTAGACCAATCTTACCATTAGCCCATGGTTTGGATGTCGTTACTCCTTTGAAAAAACCATATAGGCAGAGGAGTTTCTTCAATAACTGATGTCCTTAAGACATTTAAATCGTCAAAAACCGTCAGAAGAATCGAAATAACTTTTAGTGACTTCAATACAAAAATTTTGCAAATCGGATTCAAAAATTTTATCAAAGAAACAAACTTGATAAATCTAGCGTATTTCGTTGTTTTAACATTTCTCATGATCGAAATTCCACTTGAAAGTTTTCTAAAGTATATCTAGTTCGTTTCCATGTCTATCAGTTCTATAGGAATATTATGAATTATAAACGACGGATTTTGATTCAATGACATCAGCAGGATTATTAATATTAATTGTTAATATTTTAGAATATGTATATCATCATCCAACACCATTATAAATCACAGCAAATATACAAAAAGTTAAACAAAGATTACTTAATAACACAGTGACGATCATCACATTGGAATAAACAAGGATTATCTGCATATCTCCCCGTTCGACAATAATTGATAGCTTATTCAACACAAAATCATAAAACATTTTTTTATTCGCGAGTGCGCACGGATTTACTTATTGATAAAGTCACAGAGAGGAATCGCAGAATGTACAAATGGAAATTAGATTTTTCAATCATGAATGATTTTTAACCTAAAAAACCATGCAATAATGAAGAGTATATTATATTTTAACACTGGCCTCATTTTGGAAAATTAGCTATTTCGAATAAAAAAACTTTGGACTTGTGTTCCTCAACAAAAATTTAGATAAAAATTGAAGGAATAAAAATGCCAACAAGTAGTTGCATTTTTATTTAATTCTCTGACGAATTGAAATGAATTATTTCTGTACTAATCCAATAAAAAATTTGATCTAATTCCTGAAAACTAATGTACAGACAGTCAGCCCGGTATAGAAAGATGTCCAACAGAGAAAAACAGAATTATGAAATAGGTACCAAATATCATTCGCTCACTCAGTCATATATAATTTTCTTGATTTTTTCTGACTTATCCTATATTTTTCAAACAAAAAACGAAACATTATAACACAAAAAATATTTTTTGTCATTACATGACTTTGTAGATATATAATATTGGTAATAAAAAGTTTCTTTACAAACATTGTGATAAATAAGGAATATCGATTCGTCGTTGTTACTGCTGCAGGTAAGAGGCCAGGGCGGCCATGACTGGTGCAGGCGGCAGCGCTATAGGGATGTGGTAGTATTTACAGGCGGACCGACAGCACTGCCCCTTGGCAGCATCACGGCATACGGCCACTCGCTGTTCCACTATTTCCACCCCATCTCCTAAAACGAATTATCCCCAGTTAGTTTCGAGTGCTTGGAATAATTTTGAATTTGAAGCCAATACAATTTTGTGAGAAAATTCTCACTTTATTGCAAATATAACAAAAATAGTAAAGGCCGTTCAAGGTCTTCAAACAATTTTTTTTAATAATTTTCAGTTGTAACGACCGTAAAAATTTACTCAATTCATTAATTTTATTCGTGACATGGGTAACATATTTATAATTTATTAAAATTGAGAAAACATATTCACTTGCAAAACCGAGTATCTGAGGAACGCTTGAGATATTCCTACACTTTTTCACTTTCCCTACTCCCACTCTACCTCAGGCTCCCAAAAACTGAAGAAGTAGTTAAAACAGAAGTGAGACAAAAAAGGCGATGCCGACGAGTTGAATAAGACATCATTGAATGATTTGCAATATTTATCCTCTTAAAGTCTGTACAATACTGATAGTATTCGATTAATTATGACAAACGTCATAACGTTATAACTATTAAAACCAAAAAAATTATACATGAAATTCGGATCTGAAGTGGAGTCTAAAAGGTCCGATGAAAATTCGAGTGGGAAAAGCATGAGTTTTAGCAGATAAATAAAAACTTTGAATGCATCTCCGTTTCGAAACTCACAAGTTTGAGAATCATAACTAATAGCTGGAACTTTTAAAACTGATAGATAAAATCGGAACCTCTAGATGAATCTGAAGAAAACAATTTTTTCATACCAGAGTGGTGTGGGAAAAATATTTTCTTTAGATTTGAAAACAATGTGGAATTATTTGCGTTAGTTGACAATTGCATATATAACCACCAACAAAAACTTTTGTAGTCCACGGCATTAAAAAAAAGGGTTCCAAATTTGATTTAAAAAACGTTAAACAAAATATTGTGAAAGTGGACTTAACTCTTGGCGTCTAGCCAATGGCTATAGTCGTATTGTGCTTCAACTGATAATTCATACTTTTTGAATATATACGGAATATTTAGTTGTTAAATTTGTTATTTTATAAGTCTTCTGGTATACTATTGGCCCACGTTAATGTATGAAAAACTAAAAAAAAATTAAAATAACGCCTTCGGATATCGTACTCTGTGTACTCTCGGTATCGTAACTCTGTGGCGCCGGACAATCTGTCGCTTCCCACCAATTAGGGCAGATTGTCCTGCTAATTGAAGTTTGAGTTATACTTTTGTAGAATTTGGAGTAATATCTCATGAATGCATTTTGAATTATTTCTTGTTAACAAACAGAAGAGAGGAAGAAATATACAAGTGAATGTTTGATGATAGGTGAAAGAAAAAACTATAAAGTGGTAAAGCCGAAAAAATTATAATACAAGCCACTCCCAAACTCTTTAAAACAATTGTGAGATCCAAGATCTAAGTCAATATGAAATATTAAAAATTTCCATCAGAATAACTAAACATTATTAGGTTGGCTTTTCTGGAAACAAGGATGGATCACTATAGCATATTTTTCTTTTTTAAAATTATTAAGAAGACATAATTGGTGTCATGTCGTTCAGGCAGACTGTTGAGGTTGAAAAAGGAAGAACAGCAGATTAAATTGAAGGAATTATAATTATAGAAACAAGACAGAATCAATATGCGGTTTTTCAAATAGATTCATTTAAGACCAGTTTTTTTTTGGTTTAAGGAGAAATATTTTTAAAATATCGGATTTACATAATCGTGGATTCGACAATAATTGACTACACTGTACAGTGTACAACAAAACTTTAACTGAGCTTCAGACTAATTCTGAACTTCAGACTGATTCTCAAATGTCTATCACCTTATTACCTCACTTCGTACCGCACTTTCAACAAGACTTCTAAATCTACCAACAAGCTCAAGAAGTAGTGCTTATATATGCCAATGGACTGGGGCACTAGTCAAATGTTTTTTCAGGACAGTAAATGCTTGCTGGCAGTTTGGTACCAAACGAAGGTCGTTCTCTTTTCACTCAAGCTAAGTAGCGATCTGAAAATTTATCCGGTAATACACATTTTCCTGGAAGAGACAGCACTTCTTGGGATTGATCTGCAAATGAGCATTCCACAGCCTCGTGAAAACACTCCTCAAGTTTGACAGATGTTTGTCAAAACTTTTTCCGGTCACTATAATGTCATCAAGATAGACCTAGCATGTTTTTCAGGTAAGTCCTCTCAGCACCAACTCCAACAAGAGTTCAAATGTTGAGAGTGTATTGCGTAATCCGAATGGCATGAACTTGAATTGATATAATTCGTTCTTTAAAACTGATGTTGAGAACCATCTGCATTTAGCCAAGATGTTCAGGTTCAGGGTATCATCTATTCTGGGGAGAGGGTAATTGTTCTTTCTGGTGACATCATTAAACCTGTATTCTAGGCAGAATCTCGTCGATCTATCTTAGTCACCAACCCAACAGGTGACGATCATGGGCTGGTTGATTCTTCGATTACCCCCTTCTCCAACATGTCCTTAACGATGGATGAAGCTTCGTTCTACTTTGCGAAGGGAAGACATCTCGGTGGTTGGCGAATGGGCTTGGTATAGCCAGTATCGATCCGATGTTGAACTAAATCCGTTCGACTAATGATTTTTGCCCTCACAAACATATCGTTCTCTTCTTTTACGAAACGCGTGGCCTTGCATAGTTCTTCCAACAGATGGCTCCACTTCTTCCTGAAGGTATCGATGAGTTCCTTCGGGTATTGTTGTTGCACGGTGCAGATATACTTTACATCCATTCTGGCAATTTTCACAATCGGTTCGCAGGTATCTATTACTTGCCCTCTCTTGAAAGTCGCTCTGTTATTATTACAGTTGATTATTCTTACTGGAATGGTCTGATTGTGACCATTTACGAAAGATCTAGCCACGAAAATTCATATTTCAGAGAGGTTGTATAGCTCTTTCAATGAGCAAACTAATGATTAGAAACACTCTTTTTGAACCTACAACGTATGAAGCTAACCAAAAAAACTGGATAAGGATTAAATAATTTTGAGTGATAAGTTGTGAGTAGTGAATCGTGAGAATTTGAATAGTTGATTTTCGGTTGTAACAAATGTTGGATAACGTGAATTCTTACGATTCAAAACTTGTGACATATCACTTAAGTAACACTGAGTCGCCAAGTCAACCAATTTTTGATTTCTGTTCTAGGAGGCTGTATCTGAAAACAGTTTTTTTTAAATAGGAGCAGTGAAATAGAACTCTACATATAAATAAGAAAAAAGGTCTTCAGTCAGACCCTTAGGTCTGCCTTAACTAACATACATCAATGTGAGAACAAGTACCTGAAATCTCTGTATTGTTTTTTTTTGCAAGAAAAACCTGGGAAATACTGTTTTAAGAAGAGGACATACGTAAATCGATTATTATTGATCTCAGGCCTTGATTTACTTTAAATTTTTGGTGAATAGATCAACTCACCAATTTGAAACAATTAAAAAAAGGCTTACCTTCCTGTAGGTGAACAAATTTGCAGGCAGGCCGGTTACAAAGACCATGATTAAAATCTTGGCACACCGGGAGGGTGTCCAGTAACTGAAAAATTAGAAACATATAAAAATGCTACTCTAAATAATGTTTCATTTTATTACATCAACGACGGTATATTAATAAAAATGGTACATATGTATGCAGTGGAAATATTTTCTTTTCTAAAAGCAGCATACATAGGCACTACTATAAAACCGTTACAAAGTGAAATTTCGAAAACGAATGCTCATGCCAATGGTTTGAAAAGTTATTTTAAATTTTGGTGAGTATCAAATAAACTATAACTAGATAATTCAATCATTCTGCACAAAATAATGAAAAATATATTACAATAAATATTTCTCTTGATATCTTATTTTCGCCAATAGCAGTTTTGATTAGTCATGAATAAAAAATGAATATATTCAGCTGATTACCAGTATATAAAGCTCACGGCAGCATAGGCCTAAACCAAAAAAGCAGATGTGTTAATAAAAAAAGAAAATGATAGAGAAGTAGTGTTCACATGCAGAATGTTTGAAAATCTTCAAGAAAAACAGCAAAAACCTGCCGTATATCAATACGACAGTGCAAAAAACTACTAGGCGTTAATAATTCACTACTGAAACTGCAATCAGATTGTGATTGAATAGTTAGTTGTTGACTTCACAATTTGCTTGCAATAAATGGACGATAACAAGTCACTATGTTCAGGGGAAAAGTTTCATTTTCTATTATATTTCAGTAGAAATCCTAATGGAAGAACAAAAATGAGTTTAATAATTTTCGTCAAAAACATAGATATTATTGTGAAATTCAAAGAAAAAAGTAATTAGTCGTATAATTACTTGCAAAGTGCAGTTTTTTTATGCATGCATATCAACGAATCAAAAAAAAACTTCAAAGATATAGTTTCCATTTGAGTGAACACTATTGGTTATGTAAAACATTGTTTATTGAGTTCTTTTTCTTGCTTTCAGTCATAATGATATCAAATACTTTCTACTCTCTTTGTGGAATTGTAGGCTTTTTATACTTTTGTAAATTGAATAGCTACATTTATAGTGAACAGGATAGTATCCACAGTTAAATAGTATTCTGGAATTCAAAACAAATATTTCAATACAAAAGAAAACCACAAAACACCATCAGATACCTAGTATATTTTGTTCAAAAGTACACCATTCGAATACCGTATTCCCCGACGAAAGCTGACAATGATTTTTATCAAATATTCAGTACATATTTGAATTGAAAAATAAAGATGTAATTTTTTTAATTGAATGCATAGAAACAAATAAATACAAAATAATAATGAAATCTGAAACATTGTAACTTGTTATATCAGGTTAATCATGTAAGCTGTGCCACATACATAAACTATTAAAAGTATTGGGTGAATACCAAAAACTGCTAGCGAAATGTAGTACAGCATACATGATGTTAAACAACTTGAATACCTGTCCTTGTTCGTCAGTGTAGATCACAAAGGGGGCGTTGGAAGGCGCACCATTGTCTAGGGCGTCATGCAGTATTGTGCAGCACAAAGCGTCATCGCAGCCAAAAATGAGCAATGCGACAACAGAACGTTACAGCCATTACGTTTATACCCACCAGACACCGAGTATGTGAATAGTTAGGCGGCGTGTTATATTAAAGGTTATGTAATTCATCATAATGTAGTGGTTGGTTTTAACAAGACACACACATGTTAAATATAGTATATAAGTATTGCGTTTTGTGTTTTCAGTGTTATATGGGTGTTGGTGGGCGAGTTCCCAAAGAACCATGGCAGCGACGATAAAAAGAACAATAACACAGTCCACATCAGCGTTCAGAAATTGGTTGCAAAATAAAGTTTAAAGGGATTCATTTTTGATGCAACAGAACAGAAGATGGTTTGAAGTGGAAACCATAGGATTGTATGCATGAAAAAAAGCAAAAAAAAGAAAATTAGGTTTAAAAAATTAAACACCATAAGTTGAAAAAATTGTTTAGGATAGTTATAAAAATTTTAGATTGAGTTCATTTCACTGGAATTATTTTCCAGTGAAATTTATTGCACATTGATAATTCAGATGAATATAAGGATATGATTACAAATTATAGTTTCATGTAAAGTTGAAATCATAACCAACAATTGTATCCAATATATCATTTGAGCATTGAATTTTTGTTATAAAAAATATGGTCATATTAGCCTCGTGTTTTGTGTATAACTTGTTACTAACTTTATGGACCACATTTGAAGTAGCACGACTATTTGAACTACTGTCAAACATTCCAGAGTTCAACCCATAACCTCCCGCTGAGATAAACATTGCGCCAACTTCTTATTATCGCTATGTTGTTTAGTTTTCAATAAAATGAATGGAATGACTGGAATCAAGTTTCAATGCTCCATATGTAAAATAATTTTATTTTTGCTTTGAGGAAGTCTCATTTCAGTCAAATATGGAAAAGGATAAATCAAGAAGTGCTAAATAAAAAGGTTACTTACAAATAAATAGGTTTTAAGCAAAGAAGCAGAGGTATACTAAAAAATTAAAGTATGGTTCAAGAAGCTGTTACGTGTAGAACAAATCTGCGATGCTACAATTAGTCTATGCGGCTGGATTCTGCAAACATAACATATTAAATATGGCGTCGTAAACAATAATAATAATAAATAATTCCATGAGAAATGTTAACACTCTTATAAAAATATATGATTCCAATTACCTACATATTACATTTTTACTTACTACAAAGCTACAAAGGTTTTTAGCAAATGAGAAAATGTAGAAAACATTCGAAATGTACAAAGCCTCTAATAGTCTCACTCATTGCTAAACACTACGATAGATCTTTTTCGAACACGTTCCTTCATCACTTGTTAGTCAATATTTGTCCAAAGCTCTTCGAAATTTTCTCAATTTTAATAGCTTTGTGCAATGTGCATTTTATAGTAGAAAGGTGCACAAAGAGGGAAGGGGACACTAGATGAGTAAAACACCATAAAACGTTTGATCTCTTAGCTTCTTAGCACATTACACAAGCATAGGTAAACTTTGCCGGAAATCTCTTTCAAATACACCAAGCTAATATCGTCTAAAACCGTCATGTGTACAGGAGGTAAAAGGATCACTTGCCTGCCATTTTATTTTGTGTTTCCATTGAGAAAACTTACTTTCTTATTCATTTACACCACTAACACGAAGATAATGATTACATTTACCATTCGACTTCACCCTTGTCTCAATGAATGTTATATCAATTTATTCAGTAAGAAAGTTATTCTTTTTTAAAAAAACATGGGTTCATTCTCAGTTTATTTTCTCGTCCCGACAGACATTTGATGAATTGAACATTATCTAGATAGAAACTGATTTCAGTGAATTCAGCTGATTCTTTGTGTTAATGGTGGGTTTTTCAAGCAGTAGGTGTTAGTTATGATAAGCAATGATGTTTTGAGCTAACTGTCAACATACAAAACACAGTAAATAAAATGGTGGGGCAAGCAGAAGGGGAAGAATACAGCCTGTACAGTCATCTTATTTGATGGTAAAAATAAGCCAAAAGGCACGTGACGGGATGGGTATCATAACAAAAAATGTAGGGTATTTTGGAAAAATAATCAAAATAATAAGCAATGATTAATAAAACAAATATCATGCATTTTCAAGCATTATTATTACAAATAGTAGCGGTGATAATACATACACCTCTGGATTAGAACAGTACAGTACACAATAAATCATATAATTTTTGGAAAAAAGAATTTTCAACACTAAAATGGCGAACGTGACCCACACCTCAGCAAAGCGTGATCAGCAGCCTGAAAGGCACTACGTTATTGTAAGACATGATCAAGTTGGCTGGCAGCTGATTACGCACAGCCGCTCCAGTGCTAAGCAGTATAACCCTGCTTGAACTGGGCAACTTAGGCTTTTAACCAAAACTACTATAGCAGATTAGGACGCCGCGTCGCTTGTACGTTAAACTTCGATCTCAATAAATTTTACAAAGTAGAAACTTAGACAAGTTGGATAAACTTATGGAATCTCATAATACAATACTATTCCAAAATAGTATTGGAGACAGCGTTTCTAAAAAGACCTCTGAGAAGTTGAACGTGAGCTGTGCATCCCAGTGAAACTGATTTTTCAGCCTGTCTGTTACATAGTAATCCTACTTAAAAATGCAAATTCTTTACATAACCTATGTATTACTAGTTGAAGTAAATGTATACTAAGATTAAATATACATGCATCACAATAATATGCGTACCTTTTTGAAAAGTACAGGTGATTTTCAAATGCTACATATAGTAAGACACATCTTTTCAGAAAGTTTATATAGTTATAACTATCCATAATAATACATCACAATACTAGATCTATATCTATTCCTATATCTTACAATAGAAAGATACATTTTTGACCTTGAACACAGGACAAATATTTAGTTCTGAAATTCTACACAAAATGTGTGAAACCTTCGTTGTTATTTTACGAAGAGAATTAGTAGAAATCCATTTCAATTATCTCACTTTTCGTCAGAACCCAAAATATATAAACTTATAAATATTCTAAAGAATATGCATTTTTTACTTAAATTTAGCAACTAAAGGAATTTATTAGAATAGCTTGGGGAAATCTACTAAGATTGCACTATAAAACGTCTAAATATTTGCTCTACATACAAGATAGCTATAATGAACAAAAAGAAATGACACGCAGAACATAACTACATTTGTGCTTCGAGATCAAACCCAGGAAGATCAAAATAACATCTGCCTTTGAGGCTTCTGCATGTCCAAAAGGATACAGGAATTAGATATATTTCAAGGAACAAAGTTTTATAAAGTATACAAAAATGTACCATACGTAAACATATGTACCTACGTACATGTTTGACTGAGACACAATCCAACCCAAAAAGAATACCAAGAATAATCATTTGGAACTGACATGCAAAACAAGTATTCAATAAGCCCCATGCACTTTTGGAACTAATACACAAAACATAGATCATCAAGTTGTTCCTGATAATCAAAGCCTGTACATATTATGAAATTAGAGAAATCAAATTTGGAATTATTAATCATGACGTGAAATAAGTTAGATATAAATAATACATGAAAGTAGGGAGGAACTAATCAAGTATTAATATTTGATTTAGAGGATTTTCAACTTGGTTTAGTAGATATTGTCAAAAACATTTAGATTTCTACGATATCCTAGGGTCATACTTTATCTTCAACAGTTACAGTTGAGAATATAATAAATCTATAATGATAGATAATTTGATATCAGTGTTGTTAAGTTTAACTAAATTTCCCTTTCCAAAAATTGTATATCCACATTTATTTAAAAACTGATTTTTTTTAAATACAATAAAAAATTATTACTCTCTTCATATTTCAATGAATTGAGGATGGTTTTATTTGACTAGAAACCAGCGACTAGTGCATTATACTTTTGCAAATGTTAGGGAATAGGCAACATTGTATCTAGTGGTGACCTTATTGTAATTGTGTCGTTTTGAAGAGGTGTAATATAATTCTGAGGGCAGTAAATATATAAATGTTGTATACATTATTATTAAGAGTAAGAAGTTAATTTTTTCTATTAAAAAAAGGAAATGATGTTCAAATATAAAATTGACAAACATTTAAAAAAAACATACTAATTTTATTCTGAATCGATTGCCAGATATCCTACATCCTCATTTTTTGTAACAGCTACCAAAAATCATTGCTAGTAGAATATGATGTACGTAAGTAGAAAACTAAACTTTTGTAGATTTACCAAACAGAATTATTATATAATCGCTCAATAAACTTTATATTTTGAAAAAATATTTGGTTTTCTTCTTTATGTTAGGTAGGTATGTACAAACCTGGCGTCTTTTTGGGTCAGTTAACATACTACTCTGAGATGGCACTTTCTAACAAATACAACGCATAAAACTACCATGCTACTCAATTAGGCTTTCAAATTTCAAGTATATGAAAATTTTTCATGCAACAATAATGTCTGAATATAAAGATCTTTTTTGTTTAAAGATTGCAAAATACATTGTTCTAGACTTATCCACCGTAAAATGTAGTAACTAGTAACATGTGACGTTGAAAATTGATTTACCACTTCCATTTCATTATTCGACCAAGGAATGGAAATGAATAGTTTATCTTCAATAAACACGACACGACACAATTTCTCATTATGATTATTCATAGCCTCAAAATGAATCAAAATAAAAAAAACAAGCTTGTAGGAAAAAAAATTAATGGAAGGGGTGAATCAACATTCATCGTCAAATGAAATTATAATGGTAAATAATGGGGAATGGGAAAAAGGATGTTAATTGTAGCGGTGCAGTTAGAGGGTGTGTGAGAGGTATCACAGTATTGAGGCACTCGCTTGGTCCGGGATAGCTTAGAGCATTGCCCAGTTTTATCAATTTTTAAAATGAACCAAAAGTTTTTTGACTAGAAAATTTCTTTTGATAAATGACAAATACAAATTTTATTACACAAATCCGATAGTACAAAAACACCAACATCCAAAATATAAATACAACTTCATTTCGAAAAAATGTATCAATCAACATTTTTATTTTAAAACACTAACCGTATAAATATAGCGAATATTTAAGGACGTTTATCGTAAAACGTTCATTTATAAAATATTACACAAACCAACAAAATTTTAAACAATACAAAATATATTAATCAGTATACTCTTTAGTTTGTCTTCAGTTTTTTATACGGCTGTAAAGTAACGTTATTGTTGTTATTTTGTGCAGCAGCAACAGCGATACTAGCCTGTGCAGCAGTGCTATTGGTTATAGGCGCTGCAGAAACAGTAACTGGATACTGTGCGCTCAGTAGATTATTGCCGTAAAGGGAAGAAGCGCCAGCCGCGGTAGCAGTGGCATATTGTGGCTGTCTCATTATGGAGTACGGATTGAACTGTACTGGTGGCGGTCGGCTCAGATTGAGTAAATTCTGTTGTGCAATTGCTTGATAAGGGTTGGCAAGCCCCAAATTGAGAGCAGCAGCATTGAATTGAAACGGCAATGTGGGATATCGAGGAAAAGCGGCCGCAGTTTGTGGCATTGCCGCGAGTGCCTGTTTGTTTAAAGCAACTCCCGTATAGTTCAGAGGATTCAGGTGGCTGAACTGTGAAGCGGCAAGAGACTGATTAACGGCAGCAAGTTTGACGGCCTTGGCATAGTTTTGCTGGGCAACCTCTTTAGCAAGCGTGGCAGGATCGGGAATTTGCGGTTGGGGCGGCGGCAAAGAAGACAGAGAAGCTGTGCTCGTTATGCCGGAAAAAGTCTCATCTTTGGGTTGTTGTGATAGTTGTTGGGACTGCTGGGATATCTGAGTAGTGACAATGGGCTGAGAAGCCTCGGAAACTGTGGGCGAAGCGCAAGAAGAGGATGGGGGAGCAGGGGAGGTGGAATACTCACATGACACGGGTACGAAAGGCTGCTGCAGCTGCATTAGTTGCTGGTAGGTAGTTGCGTTCGGCTGGTAAACCGGAACACCAGATTTATCGGCGGCTGTTCGTTTATAGGGTACCATTCCCGCTGGAAAGGCCTGCTGGGATAAGATAAGAATCAAAATTAAATTTAACAAAAATTCCAACAGTAATGGTGGTTTTGAAAATATATAAATTCAATAAAGACGAAAGGTAACGATGCCTTCAGAACACCATTTTATTTAAATGTTATTAATCTTAAATATTGAAATATATAAAATTAGATACTTATATAATTGAGTTTTTAACACTAAAATAATTCCAAAACATGCACTTCTTTCAATCACCAGAACTGCAATACCCTTCTTGACGCACGTTTCACCAACTAAGTAGGTATCGCTGTAATTGAGTTGCTAGAATGTTGCGAGATAATAAGTTTATAAAATCAATTTGTTAAAGAGCCTATAAACTGAAAAATTAATTTTAACTCTGAACATGCAAACTGAAAAATAAGCATAAAGCTCGAGTGGAGAAGCAGCAAATTCAAAAGGAATTCTTGAAATGACATCTGTGTATGCTGCAATTTACCTAATCACTTACTAACTCAAATTATATTTTCCTCATTTGGAAGACATCATTGAAGCACCCGAATAATGTAAAGCGAGTCAAGGAATATGTTTGAATACAGGGTGTACACTCACCCCTTCAAACTAATAAGATGTATCATGGCTCACAATATCGAAATATAATGAATATACTCGTACCTATAAGTAATGTCACGATAATCTGCTTCTTGAAACAAATTATCGAGTGCTGAAACAAATTATCGAATGCTGAAACTAATAATTTCATTACCCGTATATACTAACTACTTATTACAGCATCCTGTTAAATCCTGTTCAACATCAAACCATATGGTTGGCAAAATTGTTTTTTTTCTAGTTCAGTTTATTAATTGTTTGTTAGCTTACTCCACGACTTTATATAGGAAAAAATATACTATGATATGTTCATTCAAAAATTTTTTCGTTTAATCTTTCAAAAGTGTGTCTATCAGATATATCCCTCATAGTCGTATGTGGCTGTGTAGATTAATTCTTTAGAGTCATAGGAGGCTGTAGAGAATCATTCCTCAGAGCCGTAAGGGGCTGTGTGGCATGGTTAAGTTATTAGAAACGCAAGTTTCTAAATGCACAAAATGGATCTTTTGTTTTAAAGCACTAATGTCTAAGAACTATTACTGATAACTGAGAGCTATATGCAGTATTTGTTCTAAAACATAAATATAAGTAACAGTTTGAAAATATAAAGTTTTATGATTTCCCGGTTTATGACAGTTGTAAAGGTATCAATTTAGCGCATGCTCATTTTTCTTAGTTAAATGTTTATCCATTTCATCATCACAGTAGTTAGTTCTTAATTCCAAGCGAGTCTCCAGGAACGTTCAAACTAATTTGTTTTGGTTAATTCGAGGTTCTTAGTCTTAGTTCTAGGTTTAGTTATTAGGTATGTTATTGCCTAAATACGCTATCAGAAAAAGGTATTGCTACTTCAGTACAAACGGGGATCGTATTGAAGTGATGGGATGAAGATTACTTGATTCAAATAAAATTAAACAAAAATGTTAAAAGACAAGTGTTCACATTACTCATCAACATTGAATTAGATAATAAAACGATATATGACTAAAATAGTGAACCAGAAATGAAAAAAAGAAGAGTGATGATGGAGATTAAATAGATCCTTGGAAACCAGATAAAATCCAGATAAAAAGCCACATGCACAAGAACGGCTCTTTAGCTCAATATGTACTAAAATATTGATAACATTTGAACCAAACTTATCCACATAGACGGATTATCCGTTGGGGTTCCATTTTACGGTCTTATCAGTTCATTCCCGAATACAAGAGCAGGGGGTCTGAAGTTGCCTAATAAAATAAATATGCAATGCCAATAAATCATGAGGTCTCGCAAGATATGAAGCTCTAGTGTCATGAAAACATCTTTTCATGTGGTGGCAATTATGCCACTCTTGAATTCTTTGTGGAGGTATCCGAACTAATGAAATTCACCATGAAACATAGTCAACCACCTTCAAACATAGTAAGACTGATATTTCGCATTATGTTACTTTTGTCGACTTACACCTGATCCATTCATAAGTTCGATAGTTTGTGACCACTTAACATATATTTATTTTTCACCAACGTCATGCATGAATAGACTGCAAGCTCATACTGAATTATTATGTATCCGTTTGGTTTCTCTCGAAAATGTATCAATTTCATAGTCCTAGTTGAAAATGAGTTTCAGTTATAATAATAACCCCTGATTTGACAAAAGATGGCTTTTATCAATTTAGATACTAATTACGACTAAAATCTTCGTAACCAAACACCGTACAAAAAATTACACAGGAAAATGGAAAAAAATTTTGATTTTCGGAAAAGTGTCTCTACTACAAGTTAAGGTAATAAATTCCTGTATGGCTCTGGTAAATCAGTTTTTATCGTACAAATCACAGGGCGTTACACAAAACGGAAAAAAAACTTTGTACCCTAACTCCAGGTTAGAGAGTTAGTCCCAAGAACCGACGAATTTATACGACATGACAAAAAAAATTACCTATTTGGATATAAAAAAAACTCATTTCATGAAAGCCGTACAGGAATTTATTATCTTCGAAAATGTTTGCCGTTTCTTTTTGTATGACGTTTGGTTAGGGAAAATTCCGGTCGTAATTAATTTATAAAAGCCGTTCAAAAATTTTCACGTGAACTCACAACGACTGACGGCATCTTCTTCAGGACTACAGAAGTCATACACTTTTGAAAGTTACCTATCTATCATATGACCGTCAATAATTTATAACGGGCTTGTAGTCTAACAACGACTGACGGCATCTTCTTCAGGACTACAGAAGTCATACACTTTTGAGAGTTACCTATCTATCATATGACCGCCAATAATTTATAATGGGCTTGTAGTCTAAATGAGATAAATTATTTCACATATACTTACAAAATTGTCGTAGTAGAATGATCCAACAGATTTCATATCCATCTGAATAGTTTTATGATTTCCCGGTTTATGACAGTTGTAAAGGTATCAATTTAGCGCATGCTTATTTTTCTTAGTTAAATGTTTATCCATTTCATCATCACAGTAGTTAGTTCTTAATTCTAAGCGAGTCTCCAGGAACGTTCAAACTAATTTGTTTTGGTTAATTCGAGGTTCTTAGTCTTAGTTCTAGGTTTAGTTATTAGGTAAATACGCTATCAGAAAAAGGTATTGCTACTTCAGTACAAACGGGGATATTGAAGTGATGGGATGAAGATTACTTAATTCATAATTATTAAAATGATTTAATAACAAATTACCGTCACTCAAACCGATTTATTTTTGAAACCGTATTATACTCTACTAAAATTCCTGCATCAATATCGTTTATCTTGATGGCAACTTCATTGTCACTGATAAACAATTTGAACTTTTGCTAGGATATTTTGATTTTTTATACATTTTCACATTTTAACAAATGCTTTCTACTAAAATCTCGACCATCACAGTGAACCTCCTAAAACAAAATTAGATTTGATCAACAGGTTCGAGATTCCAGAGTTTTCACGAAAATGATATAACAATATCCCGAAAATATTCAACTGCAATGAGATCATAATTCGATAGTCTGATGAATCATGTATATTTTAGCACATCCAGTAGAATAACTTCTATCCAAAAAGGGGTATTTGGCAACTGCAATCTTCATCTTAGATATTCTACTAAACTGACGACCATCAGTTTAACTGAAATTTAGTTCTGATACATGATTGACGTATTTTATCGGCAAATTACGGCATATTACATCCCAGTTTCAAGAATTCTTTGACACGAAGCTGAAAGCATAGACGCCTAAATTCTAAAACCATAATATGATTGTTAAAAAGTATAAAATAAATTGAAAAAAGTTCCAGTGGACTAGTACAAAGCTGCACACATGTTAGAAGTAATGAAATTATTCACGTAATTCACGAAAAATTTTGTGAACCGTTTCCAATTACTTCTCATTTTCATATCTATCTTGCGAAAAAAGATAATGTCTATAATACCGAAAGCTTGAAAAGGAATGAAGCTGGTTTGTAATAAATATTCCAGATGTAGTCTAAAGCAAAGTGAAAACAGCCTCTCACAACATGCTAACAACTTAGACAGGTAGCAGTTCGCCCTCTCTACATAACGCAACATTTTATTAGAATTTCCTTGTTCATCATTTTCTCTTATACAATATACCGGGTGGCTCTTGAATTTCATCTCAATTTAGTCTTTACATTACATATAAGCACAACCAAATTCAAATGACAGTTATAGAATTGTGTGCCTTTTTTGCTCCCTTTGATCTCAGAGAAGACAATTAGGGGTCAAGTGTACAAGAGAGTGATAATGAAACTATGCATCCTGTGCTTTTAGAATCATTGTGGATATGGTGTATTCTCATTGCTTATTTCCATTTAAGTAAAATGTTTTTAGTAATTATAGATATGTAATTAGTTTTTCAAAAGTAAATCAGTTCTCGTCACTCTGTGTGTAAATGGTTGAGGGTTTCAAACTTATTCAATAATTTTATCCATAAGTGACGTACTGTTTTTTGTAAATAATCATTGACCTACCATATATACGCTATGTATCACAAATGGTGAATAAATATTATTATTATTATTATTTTTTCACCGTAGTGTGCGCTGGTCAGGCCCTATCCCCCGAAGCCCCGATACATTCGGGAGGGCTCAATTTATGATAAAAAAGAATATGAGTGATGGTGATTTTAGTAATTTCTTCCGAATGAATCGACATCAATTTGCAGAAGTGTATGGGAGGATCCAACGAGGCATTGACTCAAAGGTATGTCATGCCGATAACCTATTCCTGCTGAGGAAATGCTGTGTAACGCACATGAAACTTTTTCAGCAGTAGGATTTGAGTTTTCTTCAAAAAATATGCAGTCGTAGTCTTTTCGACTATTGAACATTCTCAAAATTTTCGACACACCTAAACCTTTTCCTAGATTTCACTAATAAATGAAAAATGGTTCTTGATATATCAATTTCGAAATATGTTAGGTAACAAATTTTAATAATTTGCTGTAATATTTTACTTGCCACAGTTAGTTCATGTGTCGCAAATTGCTACAAAAAAAATTCCCCATGCATTTCATGTCAAAAATATGTAGAATAGGCCACAATAATATAATCTGAGCTGAAACTAAACTTCCTAACAAAATATTTTGTTCTTAAAAATCATATCTACATATAATTACTAATGAAGTAAAGAAGAGTGAAGAAAAACTGAATTTTACCATATCCATAATGACTAATGATTCTGTGAGTTAACTTCTGAATCATTACACTCGCAACTTTTACTAATAAACAATATTTCTTTCGATATGATTTGAGTACTGCAATTATAGCGTTAATTCATAATATTTCTTGTTTTAGAAAATTTAAGTTGAGTGTAACTATCTTGACAACGAAGCACGATTACAAAATACGACAAAAGCACTGTGCTCTTCGTAGATGCAACTGAAGCGCTAGGTTACTATTTTTGGAAAACTCTATTTCGTTCAGATATATAGCAATATTTACAATCGGTAGTGCCAGACATTTATCGAATGCTATTAAAATCGGGTATAATTAATGGAACCCATACATATAAGTCATCATTTCATAAACGCCTGCACTCAAATTCTGTTGAAAATTTTTGAGCAAATTTGTGCTGCAGATTGAAAGCGATGCAAAAGGACAAAAGCAATGAATTCTCGAAAATATCCTGAACTGCATGATTACTCCAAATTGCCTGGTATCTGTAAAAAGATGCAAACCACTACCCAAGATGTTTTGAGGAGTGAGGTGTTTTGTGTAAAAGGTTATATTATTTTATATTGTGTACATTTTTATATTAGGTAAAGTACATTTTACCACTATTCAATTATAATTGAGTCTTCCGAATCATAAATTTACATGAGAAAAAAATCTTCGTTCCTTAAGACTTTCATTACAATTAAATATAGTATGTTGTTGAGTAACTTGGTATGCTTCGACACTATAGTGGGACATTTATAGTTACACCGACAAAATAAGTTGTCATTGCTATAGTTGGAAATGTAATGATATCACCAAATTCAAACTTCTGAAAACATATGAAAAATAATGCTGACATGCAAACATTTTTTTGGCATCAATTTTTTTTCAAATAGTTAACATTCAATGACAACCGTCAAAATTACTCGTAGTTGCTCCTAGAAAAGGCGAAATTTGATATGAGCAAAAATGGAAGTTGAATTTTCTATTGCGGAAACAGATAATCTGTCATGATGATGAAGTGTAAATAATTTTATTCTGACAAATATACTAAACATTTTATGAAAGGGATAAGTTTCTATATTGAAGAATAATTTGAAAAAAGTATTTTGAAATCGAGATATTCCATTACTGGGCATTCAAAATTTATATTGCATTTCAAATTTATATGATTTCACATTATAACTTTTTTAACGAGGTTTCAACTTTAAAATGTCTCTGTTTGAAAAAAAAAATAAAAGACCTCTAGAAAAAATATCTTTCTCAGTAGGGACTCAGACATATATCAGAAGCAAAGTTTTACTTTATTCAGTAAATTCGTCGTTGTATCGACTAGAAAATAATATCATTCAGTTCGGAATAAAAAAAAACTCTAGATTTAATCTGTCCCATGCATTATTTGAATAAAAAAACTTTGGGGATTCATCATTTTAGGTATTTTGAATATTGAAAAAAAAATTATCGTAACACATACAATCCACCCCTTGGTGGGAATTATTAAAATAAGTTGAACTTTCTGCATGAATCCTGATACTGAAAAATTTTCAAACAACATAATCTTATTCGATTAGCGGTTATTCAATTTGATAACTTGAAAGGGTGCCGTCATTTTTGTGAATTATGTAACTCGAAAAATGCTCGAACAATAAAAAAAAATACTCAACTAAGTAACGGAATAACTGCAAACTCCCTGAGATTTTGGATTCAATACATCAATACAACATGTAAAAATGTGCGGAAGTAAATAGCCCTCCCCCTCACAACTTTCAAACGGGGCAAGATATCAGAGTCTGACAAAATTTTTGACAAAAGGAATGAACTGACATTACATACCACCGAAAAGGCGCTATAAACTTTCTCAAATATAAAAGGGGTATTGTAACATTTTCTATGAAATTCTCTATACAACTGATGTGACATGTTGGCCAAAAGTTTGTGAAAGTGGGAATTTAGATTTTGAAAATATCTTTTTTGAATACATGTTTACTAGAAAGAGAAATTAATCAGTAGCATCTTTTGCAATAGATAAGTGTTAAATTCAAGGGTATACTGAGATAACATTTTATTTTAACCTTGTTATTATTCATCATAAAAAATAATTTGAGCAAATGTTCTCCTTGAACTCTCTGACAGTGAAGCAGTCTATTTTCGATCTCATTTCTAATATTTTGGAATGTTTCTGGTGTAATGTAATGGTGTAATGTTTCGGTTATTCTGTCTCTAAGTTCCCGTTTTATTGGACACAACTTTTCAAATCCGTGGGTAAATGCAGTTTTGAAGAATTTTCAAATATAAATTACCATTCAGATTTTCTTCTAGATGTACGTATGCGACCTACAAATTGATTTCCCAATATTCCTGCCCAGACATTTACTTTTTCAGGAATTTGAGTGTGACTTCCTCGAAAAATATGTGGGTATATGTTTGACTAATATCGCACATTTTAGCAGTTGATACTTCCGTTTGAAAAAAAGTTCATTCGTCACTAAAACAAATACTTTTTTCAAACGTTCGGACATTAACTCACAAAACTACATCCCTGTTGAATTATTAATTCATTATTTGTGACACTGTATATAATGTGTGATATTGAATAGTTTGTAGTTGTCAATTTACTGGATAGTTACAATAGTTGGAGTTGTTGATTGTCAGTGTGTATAACTTCATATTAAAGTCAGTTTCCTATTTTCTTGTATTAACATACATAAT